GAGGGCAGGGCTGCCCCCCCCGGACCCCTCTACAGCACCCTCCCACACCCATAGGGCTTCCAAACCCCCCTGGGCTTTCATCCCACAGCCCCCCGTATCTATCTTGACCTCGTGGGGCTTTGAACCTCCACCCCAATACCTGTCTTGACTCTATAGGGCTTTGCATGCCCCCACCCCAGCCATCTTGACCTTGTGGGGCTTTGGACCCCCACCCCAATACCTGTCTTGACTCTAGGGTCTTGACACCTCCCTCTCCCAAGCCATTTTGACCCTATAGGGCTTTGGACCCCCTCCTAATACCTGTCATGACTTTATAGGGCTTTGACACCCCCCCACCCCAGCCATCTTGATCCTATAGGGCTTTGCCCCCACCCCCAGTACCTGCTTTGACTCTCTAGGGCTTTGACACAGCCCTCCCATATCCATCTTGATCCTATGGGGCTTTGGACCTGCTGCCCCCAATACTTGTCTTGACTTTTTAGGGCTTTGACACCCCCCAAAGCCACCCTGACCCTATGGGGCTTTGTCGTCTGTCCTACAGCTGGTGTCACCTCCTCTCCTATAGCCACCGAATGCATGGGAGCATCGACGTCCCTATAGGGCCCCCGCCCCCTCCCTTATCCCCACAGTGCCAGGCTCCCCCTCCCCTGGCCGGGCACTGACCTGGGAGGCGGATTTGGCGGGGCTGAGCCCCTCGTGCCGGGGGGAGCCGCAGGGGGACGCGGAGCCGGGGGAGCCCGAGCCCCTGGCGCTGTCCGAGAACCACGAGAAGGGCAGGAAGGGGGAGCCCGAGGGGCGGCCGGGACCCTCCGCCGCCTCCCTGGGCACAGAGCCGTGTCAGGGGGTGGGGGCCGTGCCCAGGCAGCCCCCCTGCCCCGGCTGAGGGGGTCCCTCACCTGCTACCCGTGGACAGGCGGTTGCTGCTCTTCTCTTTGCGGCTCTTGCCGGAGGACGCCCGGCGCAGGGTCACCCTGGGGGAGAGGGGGGGCAGTCCTGAGGGTTGTGCTCCCCCCATGGGCCCCAGGACCCATCCTTCCACCCACCCATCATCCATCCTCAGAGACCCCTCCATTTCCTCCAGAGGATCCTCCACTCGTGCATCCCTCCTCTGTGCATCCCACCATCTTTTCCTCCCTTCAGGCATCTCTCCAGCTATGTCTCCATCTTTCTTTCTGTTGCACCTCTCGATCTCTGCATCCATCCTCCCTCCATCCCTGCATCCCTCCATCCCCCATCCTTCCCCCCATCCCTCCCTGTATCCACCCTCCATCCCTTCCTGTATCCCTCCCTGCACCCCTCTGTCCCCATCCATTCCCTCTCTATCCCTCCCTATCCCATCCTGCATCTCTTCCTCCATCTCTCCATCCTGTCCTGCATCCCTCTGGCCACCTCCATCCCCTTTCCATCCCTCCCTATCCCTTCCTGCATCCCTTCCTCCATCTCCTCTCCATCCCCTCCTTCATCCTTTCGTGGCCCACTCCATCCCCCCAGTCCCCCTGCACCCCTCCTCCGTGTATTCCCCCGCTCCTGCCAGGGCCGGGTCTCACCCCAAATCCAAGAACTTCCTCCGTGTTTTCTTGTCCAGCCCCACGGTGGGACTGGCGGGCTCGGGGGGGCTCATGTCCCTGCTGTCATCTGCAGGAGAAGGACCGGGGTGTCCCCCACCGCCCCTCACAGTGCCGGGGGATGTCCCAGGGGTCCCCGTGCGCCCCGGGGGGGCCGG